AGTACAATATATAAATGTCCTTTTCGATGAAAATTCTCAAAAATATTAATTTAACTAATCTACAAAATGATTTTCACCCATTTGAATCGAGTGGTGGTTCAATTTGGGCCTTTTTCATCATTACAAAGGCTTCCCACGAAACATGCATTGTCAATTAGAATGATCGTTCATGTATGACAAATTTTAGAAAAATAAAATTTTGTGTTAATTATGCCCAAAATTTTTTATACCAATTGTTGGGAATTCAAAAATCACGTATCGCTCGATGCCACTTGATATGAAACCAACAACTAGATTGAGATGTTGAAGTTATATAGTAAAATATGAAGTATATGATCGCAAGTAAAAGAATAAAAGAAGACAGAAAATATGACAGAAGAATAATGAGATTTTATTGCACCATAAATAATGAAGATGGAGAAATATTACAATGATCCTAAAAGTTAATAATCACTTTTCTCACGCTATAAAATTATATAGAAGAACCTAATATTTATAGGGGACGTTCAAACCTTCTTAGTAGAGTTGTCGATGAAGTAGGATGCCAAAAAATTGAATCAAAAACGAAAAATGAGAAAATAACGCGAAAATCTCGGAACAGACATAGATGGCGCCAAGCATTCTATCAAATTTTTATTTTATTTTCTTTTGTTCCAAGTTGTTTTCTTCATCCCGAACTCTTTTTCAAGTCAAATACCAATTTTCAACTCTCAATGAACTTCCAAAATAGAACTTTAACTTGACATAAAACTCCAAAAACATTTCAAACGGAATTCCTCTTGACGTGCACTTCAATTACAATTCTTCAATTATTTCAACAAAAAATTCAGGTCACACCCAATTCTAACAATATCCACCTGGAGAAGAAAATCCATCGATAAGAAATGAACGGACTTTTCAACAATAATCAAAACTGAGTTCTCTAACCAAACACAAAATACTCCACACATCTTCCAATGAATCCAAACATTACTTTACAGAATTACCCCAACTTCCCAAAAAATCACAATGATTTAAAATTCACCAAATTAGATTGCAACACACCCCAAAGTAGAATCAAACACAAATACTTTTAAAGAAAACCCCTTACTAGATTGTATACCTACTGAGCTGAAAGCATGCTCAACAAAATCAGCATTAACATACCTTTTTCTACTGGGTCCATCCCTAACAATAGAATATAATGGCATCGCAGGTGATGATGGCAAAGTGGCATTATCCATATCCTTAAACTCCGCTGAGCTATATTCTTCAAATCCGACCATTTACAAGCTCCTAAAGGTATTGTACCAACGTCCACCATGTTATTGAACTCGTGCTGATTGACTCTTCTAAATTCTGCACAACCCTACAAGATATAAAACTGAGACATTTATGTCCCTCCAATACAACTTAGGCACTCTTACAAACCTTCAAAGCTCCACATTCACCAAAGAACTCATGACCATTTGAATCAATGATAGAAAACGAAATGAGATTCTTCTTCAAATTCAAAACATGTCGAACATGACCAAGTGTTCTAATTGGCTCATCCAATAGATTCAATCTGACCGTACCAATTCTAGCAACCTAACAATGTGTGTTGTTTCTCATAACCGCGTCACCTTTGGAAACGATTTCATAACCACTACACCTTTGAAAACGATTTCATATGTAGTGAATAAGTCCGTATTAGGACATATATGAAACACACACGTTGAATCCAGAATCCAATCCTCATCTGGTTTAGACTCGATGTCAGAAATAGCCAGAGATCTCCCTCACTTACAATGTTCTCNAATATTTTTTTTTGTTAAATGTAAAATAAGAATTGAATAAAATGATAAATTCATGTTTATATTAAGAAATATTTACATAGAATTTAAATTTAATGTTGCATGAATTATTTATAATTTTACAAAATTAAATTTAACGTAAACAAATAGCAATTAAATGCATTTCTAATTACTATTATCAAATATTTATAGTATAAGTACATCCCAACTAGGTTGATACCTACTTTTATTATAATTTATAGTTTAAGTACATCTCAACTAGGTTGGCACCTACTTAAGTCTTAATTATAATTTAGTTGTTCAAAAATTATATATTTTAATATTTGTTTTCCAATCAATTTTCAGGAACTGCAAGATTTTTAAAGTTTTCAGTAACAACATCAATAATTTTATCTTGCATCCTTCGATCGATGAATATCCAATCTTTAACGCATATGAGAGCTTCCAAAATATTTTCTTTAAATGTAGATCTTCTTTCATCAAATACCCTGTTACCTGCACTAAAAGCAGACTCGGATGTCACTGTTGAGACTGGAATTGTTAGTATATCTCGTGCCATTTTAGATAATATAGGGTATGTCCGCTCATTTAATTTCCACCATCGTAAAATATCTAAATTACCCACTTCATTTTCGGTATTAAACTATAATGATCAACTTGATAATATCTTTCTATTCCAACAAGTGTGGTATTTGGATTTGCAATTGAAGTTGTAGATGAATAACCAAGAACATTACATTTCTTAGCTATTATGGAGAAAAAAGAAGATTTACCTTTAGAAGTTGTAATAGAGCTATTATGCTTAGAATCCCCATTTTTTCAAAATTTAAATTTTTTTTTCATGGACCAGCGGGTTAACGGCGGCCCGTGAAAGTGCAACCCGCGAAACCCGCGGGTTACACCTCCTTAACCTTTGAACCGCCCGCTAGGGTCAAGGGTCGGACCGCAGTCCAGGGTCGATTTTCACGGGTCTAGCCGGCCCATCTGTCTTGACACATTTATATAATTTGTAGCAATCCTTCTTCATGTGCACATTTTTCTTCCAGAAGTTATAAATCTGATTATCGAACTTAGACATTAATCTACCCCTTCCAGAATCACATGACCAACTAAACCTTCTCCATCTCTAGCATCGGGAACCAGATGTTTCATCTTCTATTTTGAAAATAAAGTATCATATATATCCTCTATGGTGAAAGTATCACGACTATACAAGATCGTCTCTAAATGAAGAAAACGAATCAGATAACGAACAAAATAGGATCAAGGTTAAATCTTCTCCATCATACGTTACTTCCAAAGTTCCAAATTAGCGACTATCTTCTTAAATACAGCAAGATGATCTTCCAATAATCCTTATTCTGTGGAATGATGAGAGTATAAACGCTGCTTGAGATGCGACTTGCCGTCAGACTTTTAGTCATACACAATTGCTCAAACTTCAACCATAAAGCAATTGTTGAACCCCTCCTTCAAAATGTCTTGAAGAATGGTATTTGATAGATGAAGATGAATGTAAGAAACTATCTTCTTATCTTTCCGTAATTTCTCTTTCGTGTGGTCAAAGTTGTGGGCATCTTGTTAATTCCCAACAACGCATTATCCAAATCATGATGTGTGAGTATTCCATGCATCTTAAATTGCCATAGTGAAAATCTAGTGCTCCGATCCAAAAGCGAAATGTCATACTTAATGGAAGTCATCACCAACAAACCTCGAACAAATCAAACCCTACGATCTAGTGAAATTGCTGAACCTAGGCTCTAATAGCACTTATTGTGTTAATTATGCCCAAAATCTCTTATACCAATTGTTGAGAATTCAAAGATTACGTATCGCTCAATTCCACTTGATATGAAACCAACCACCGAATTGAGATGTTGAAGTTATATGACAAAATATGAAATAAATTATCGCAAGCAAAAGAATAAAAAAAGACAAGAGATATTACAATGTTCCAAAAAGTTAGTAATCATTTTTTTCATACTATAAAATTGTATAAAAGAACCTAATATTTATAGGGGACGTGTAGGGGAAGTCCAAACCCTACTAGTGGAGTTGCTGATGAAATAGGATATCAAAAAATCTACTCTAGAACGAAAAAAGAGAGAATAACGCTAAAATCCTAGAACGGACACAGCCGCCACCTTCGGATGCCTTGGCAGCCGAGGCAGAATCTCAAACAAGGGCGCCGCTACGCCTAGCGTTGTGCCATTTTTTTCTTTTTATTTCAAGTTGTTTTCTTCATTCTGAATTCTTTTTCAAGTTCAATACCAATTTTCAACTTCTAATGGGCTTCCAAAATAAAATTTCAATTTAAAATAGGACTCCCAAAAGCGTTCCAAACTGAATACCTATTGATATGCACTTCAATTAGAACTCTTCAATTATTTCAATAAAGAATTCAGGTCACACCCAAATTTTAACATAAATAAATGTCGTTACAAAGAAAACTTTAAAATTCGAGATTTTTGCAATTTGTTTGAGAATAAAAGGGAAAATTAAAGTGGTGTACAGTTTGCAAACACTTTTGAGAGATCTACCACTAGAATTGGATACTTTGTGTCCCATTCCCGTCCCCAGGAGCCAACTATATAAATTCTAGAAATTTCCATTTTACCGTTAAACTCGTAGGTTTTTGGTCACCTCCTCATAATATTAATAGGATTAAACTACTTGTACATTCAAATTGTACACTTTAGCTAACACTTTTTTATGTGTCAGAAATTTAAGAATTGATGTTGTCAAGATTAATGTATAATTTGACAATTCACATGAGTATAAATCAATGTCAAAATTTATGAACATATAGCATGATCCATATTAATATTTAAACCACACATTAGTCCTTTGCTATGGCCAAAAATCAAGATTAACATTCAAATTTCAAACAACCGTTGTGACCCAACGGTAAACGTTTACAACGGTAAACAAAAGGCAGGGCTATTTCCGTCATTGAAGAAAAAGAAGAACACAAGGCATAATGCCAGTAAACCTTAAAGTTTAAGACAAGATCTCCAGCTGTGCCCCAAACAAAACACACACACACATGCCCCAGTTCATTACTTCCATAACCTAAATCTCTACCCTAGTTAAATTATAATCATACTCCACACACTAATCATGGTTTATTAACCCCAGTACAATAAATAACTCCCAGACCCTTGCTCCATCTTATTTTCAGTACTTTTAGTACAGCTTCGAGAGAGAGAGCTACGTCTCACCATGGCTTCATTCCACCATTTCTTCCTTGTATTATCTTTGCTTGCCATTTTCATCTCCGCCGCCGCCGCTGCCGCACCTGGCGGCCATAACATTACCAAAATCCTTGAGGCTTACCCGGAATACAGCGAGTTCAACAACTTACTAAGCCAAACAAAACTCGCCGACGAAATCAACAGCCGGGAACCCATCACCGTTCTGGTATTAAGCAACGGAGCCCTCTCTTCCATCACCGGCAAACATCCACTTTCCGTCGTTAAGAATGAATTGGCACTACACGTATTGTTAGACTATTTCGATGCCGGAAAGCTACACAAGATCTCCGATGGTTCAACTCTATCCACCACGTTATACCAGACTACTGGAAATGCCCCCGGAAACCTAGGGTTTGTCAACATTACCGATCTCAAGGGTGGTAAAGTCGGATTTGGCTCCGGGGTTCCAGGCTCGAAACTCGGCTCCACCTACTCCAAATCGGTTCAACAACAGCCTTACACTATTTCCGTTCTCGAGGTCAGCGCGCCAATTGATGCACCGGCGATTTTAACTGCCCCGACTCCTTCAGCTTCTGACGTCAACATTACTGGGTTACTTGAGAAAGCAGGGTGCAAGACATTTGCATCGCTTCTTCTTTCTTCAGGGGTTTTGAAAACCTATCAGTCAGCCATTGAGAAGGGTTTGACGATTTTCGCGCCAAATGATGAGGCCTTCAAGGCGGCCAAAGTGCCAGATCTGAACAAGCTCTCAAATGCTGAAGTGGTGTCGCTCTTGCAGTATCACGCCCTTGCCAGCTATACTCCTATCGGAACATTAAAAACCACGAAGAGCTCGATTTCTACCTTGGCTACGAACGGCGCCGGGAAGTATGATCTGAGCGTCGCGACTGCAGGTGACTCAGTGAGCCTCGACACCGGAGTTGACACGTCCAGAGTCGCTTCCACAGTCCTTGACTCAACTCCGCTTTGCATTTTCACCGTCGACAGCTTGCTTCTTCCAACGGAGCTTTTCGGAAAGGCTCCGGCACCGGCGCCGGGACCTGCACCAGAGAAATCTCCCTCCCCTGCTCCCGCGGTTGAATCTCCAGGGCCGGCCCCAGAATCTGCAACCGCTCCTTCGTCGTCGTTATCTCCCCCGGCGCCTCCGACGAGCTCTCCTGTCGGATCTCCTTCAGAAGCTTCCACCGCAGACTCACAGAATAGTACTGCAGACAATGCCGCCGGCGCCTTGGAGACTCCAGCGTTGATGAAGATGCTGCTCACAGTGGCAGTTTCGGTATTTGCCTCCACACTGATGTTCTAAATCGTCATTTTCAAGGTTTGTTTTAATTTATTTTGTTATCATCTTTTCTGTGTTGTCTTTTTTATTTTTATATTATCCACGGGGTCATGTTTTTGTGTGACTGCTTTCTAGGAAGGATTTTAAATTATTTTTTTAATATTGCGTTCTGAACTAGAAAGAGATTGTGATTTAATTTTAATTATTTTTGTGTTATACCGATCACCTTTGTTTATTTACTCGTGGTGTGAATGAAATAAATGATTTTTGGGAGGTTAATAAAGGACTATAGTGTCGGTTCTGACAGTGATAGATAGCACATGGATAGAGCATTAGGTGAGGTTAATAAATTTTTTTTGTTTATCTTTAATAGTACAATTTTCAATAAAATAATATTACACGTAAATTTAATTTTTATTTTATTTTTTAATGACATATTTTTTATCAAATTATTATTTAAAATATATTTTTGGGAGAATAATGTGATGTTAATGTGACTTTTGAATGGGAGGTTCGTTAGAAAGAAAAAGTAAAGGGAAGTCAAAAGATTAGACAGTTTTGACTTGACTATGATTCTAATTAATTACGAAAAAGAAATAAAATATTGGTCACAGAGTGGTGTAAAATCTGAGAGTAGTGCTACTCATCCATAATGATTATGTCCCAAATGAAAAAAAGCTTACGTGGACAGCACTTTTTATCAATAAAATGACTTAAATATCCTTCCTTTGTTATCTTAATTTAAATCAAGGTTTTCTATTCCTAATATAGGATAATTTTGATTTATTTCTCTTAATAAATGGAAAAGTCAATTATACTCGTATTTATTTATATATTTTTTATCAAAACAATCATTTATTATTCTAATTTTATTTCCTAGGTTATTAATTTCTCTATTAATTCTGACTATATTTTCTGTCCAATATAAAGGCACATATGTATTTCTACTATTTTTTAGAAAATAATTAAGTACAGTATAAA